GAAATGACGGTTTCGCATTTTAAAGATCTGTAAAATGCGAAATCTTCGTTTCGCATTTTATTGATTCGTTTCGTTTCGTTTCGTGGTTTATGGTAAGCCCTTGTAACTAAACAATTCAAAACATAGAAATGAAAAAAAAAGTTAAAAAATGATATCTTGTGAACTTTGCGATTTCGCATATTCACGCCAAAATAACTATATACATTGATTTATTTAAGGCTTAGCATGTTCAACGTGCTTGAGGTATCAAAAAGCTTATGCTCCTCAATCCTACTCAAGGAGCCGTCATTTCAATATATACATTCAAGATGCAAGTGTGTGATTTGTATATACAAATTTATATGCAACTATGCTTGCTGCGGTCCGAATAACAGGAATAAGCGACAGACCGTGTTTTATATTATTTTGTAAATAGTGAAACGGGACAGAGAAATGGCTAGCAAATACTAGAGACAGAGTTCACTCAAGAGGCCCAAAAGCTTGTTCTGGGACCACCAACTGATTACCACGATTATATGAAGTTCGCTCTCGTGGTAGTGTCGATGGCATGTTCAAATCGGAACTACAGTAATTGATTATCACGTAAAGTCACGTAAACTAACTTAATTACACTAGGACTCTTAAGCAATCAGGTACGAGAAAAAAGTTGTTATAATGTCAATTGTCAACCATCATCTACAAAACAAGTTTTCAAGTGAACACAACACAAAAGGAGCATTGTTTCAATTCAATAAAGTTATGTTTATTGCATGTCGATAAGAGGCTTCAAAAGTGACAGTAAAAAAACTTTGAAGCATAACTATATTCTTTACTAAAGGTAACCACAGTGATCCCCTTTGACCTTTTACATAAAAATTAATAATTTTACAAATTTGGCCTTAATATACGTGATAGGAGCAAGGGTGGTGCAGTTGGTTAGAGAGCGGTCTTCTTTGCAAGAGGTTTGACTTCGATTCAGTGACCACACATCCTTGTTTCGACTTCTTTCCTTTCCGTGTAGCTTTAATTAGCTTTAAATACCCTTAAAACGGAGCACTGATGGAAAGAGGGAGACGAAATGAACGCATTGTCGGCCTCAAGTTTATTAGTGAATGACTATTCCAAGCTACCGACGTAAAATAAGGACGCTTTACCTTTATTAGCTTTTTTAGGYATATTGAGAGCTAATGTCCTTCCGGGGCTTTTCCAACAAAATCCCCTATAAATTATAACATTTTTATATATCATTTTTAGGTTTATGTTTATTTTAATGTACTAAAAGACTTCAGTATGAATAACGTCAAATAAAGGCTTATTTCGAAAACTGACGATAATGTTATCTTAGCAAGTCATGTGATATGTGATGTCATACACCCAAAATCGTTGGGGTGACTGACAGGGCCCGTAACTACAACTCCGCCAAGTTTCGTAATCACAGCTTTTATTGCCGCGGAGAAGCTGGGACAGGGGCCATCAGAGGAGTAGGGCCACCAGACGTGGGGCCACCAGACGTTTGGCACGATGGGGTCACCACAGGTGTGTGAGAATACGGCATAGGAAATGTTCGATTTCTGTCTTGCGTCTTTGTAAGTAGCGTTATGGACGGTTTATTGTCTTCGTTTAGCCGGAAAACGCTACTTATAAGTCACGTGACTTGTGACGTCACATTGCCAGGGGGGTTGGTAACCATCAGCGTTGGAATACAAAGACTTTGGTAGTACAATTAAGTCAAATAAAGGTTTATTTCGAAAACTGACGATAATGTTATCTTAACAAGTCACGTGATATGTGACGTAATACACCCAAAATCTTTGGGGTGACTGACAGGGCACGTGACTACATCCCTGCCAAGTTTCGTAATCACAGCTTGTATTGCCGCGGAGAAACTGGGACAGGGGCCACCAGACGTTGGTGGAACGTGCCAACCCCTTCTCATTCTTCGTTGTTGATGAAGGTCTACGGTAGGTCACGCGTAACTGGGAATCGCAGTAATGCTTGCTATTTTAGCTATGACATGCAGCTTTGTCATATAATAAATAACATAAAATTAATGGTACATTCAAGTTTGCTTACAACTTCTTTAACATCTTGAGTTAATATGTCCATTGTGTACATTGACCTTCCTTCTGGATGATCTGTCTCACCATACCCTCTACGATGCAACAGAAATAGTTGAGTGAGTGAGTGAGTAAGTAAGTAAGTAAGTAAGTTTATTCAGAAAAAATGTATTATATATAACTAAACTAAAAAATTTCTATAATAAATAAGCTAAATTTTATCTTCGGATATATCTATATACATAATAAATTAAAATATATAATGGAAATGGAATTAATACTACTGATTTGAATTGTATGCACTAGCTAGTGTATTGATAAAAATACTCTTCGTTCTTTTTGTTTTTGTTTTGAACAAATGATATTGTAATCAAGTTTCATTTAAAAAGATAGGACGTTTCCACGATGGCGCTGATGTTCTGAAGATAGCCCGTGTTGTGCCTTGCCTAAAGAATAGGTCTCTTGATAAAGACGAACTCTGCAACTATCGACCAATATCTAACCTCTCCTTCCTGTCCAAGATGCCTGAAAAAATTGTTGCCATGGAACTCAAAAGCTACCTTCAGGAAAATTGGCTATCTACTTTGCCATCTGCCTATTGTCATCATCATAGTGTGGAGACAGCACTCGAGTTACCAGTGATCTCCTTCTTGCCTTTGATCGTGGCATGAATGTCTTACTGGTGCTGTTAGTTTACCCTACTGCCTTCACGGTCAATCATCAGCTTCTCCTACATCGCTTGAATAACCGCTATGGTATAAGTGGTATTTCTCTAGCCTGGTTCCAGTCATATTTGGAACACCGCACTCAATATGTCAGTGTTACCAACGTTAACTCTTCAATGTGTCCTGTGGTGAGAGGAGTACCGCAGGATTTGTGTTGGGCACTTTGTTGTTCTCATTGTATATTAGCCCTATCGAAGACCTTACTATCAGATCTCACTATGTCGAATCTATGTTTTATGCTGATGATACACAGATATACGTAGTTATGAATGCTGAGAACAGATCATCTACCATAGAGAGATTAGAAACTGCTCACAATGGGCTTGTTATGAATGACTCCAAGACAGAAGTTGTACATATATACTCCAGCTACTCACGACAATTGACTGCGCTATCGTCTATCACAATTGGTAATGCTTTTGTTCGAACTGAACCTGGAGCGATTAATTTGGGAGTCTTCTTTGATAGACACTTGAATCTGAAATCTCACATCAATAATATTTGTAGCAGTTCTTGTCTAGCTTTACATAACATTGGTAAAATTCGAAAGTACCTAGATGTACCTATATACTGAACGACTTATGCATTCATCACCATCACGCTAGGACACATGCAATAGCCTCTTGTTTGACCTTCCCTCCCAAGAACTGGAAAAGACAGCACAGACTGCAGAAATACAGAACTCTGCTGTTAGGCTCGTTACGTTATCTAGTCGCAATGAACATATTACACCCATCTTACGTAATCTGCATTGGCTCACTGTGCCCCATCGTATCAAGTTTAAAATCTACGGTTAACTTATAAAGTCATCAATGGCCTTGCTCCTGATTATTTATCAGCCTTGCTGCAACCTTTTAAAAACGGAAGCGCAATCTGACGTCCAACGATAAATATCTTCTAGGTTTCCTGCCTCAAAAACATCACCTTTTGGCAACAGAGCCTTTTCTATATGCGCTCCAAAGTTGTGGAACGAAATCCCGCTCAATAGGAAACAGGAAAACTAGTAAAAAATAATATATATATTTAGGCACTGCCTAAAAGCAGAGCTCTCGAATGTGAATTAAGAACGAAGGTCCACTAATATCGAGCATCGGCCGGTCACGGGCAAAATTTCGATTTTGCTCATTTTTGGTTTGCTGGAAGGTATTACCGAGTAAATAAACGTGGTTTAGTTAGTTTTTCAAAAAACCGCTAAAAGTCTGAGAAATCCG